GCTCCCGCTCACCTTCCGCAGCCCCTTGCGCAGCCAGCGCCTTGCCCGCCTCTGACAGCCGCGGAGCCGGGGCGGGCGGGGAGCTGGGAGGGGAATTGTCTTTCCCGCCGCATCTTTCGCAGGAAAAGAGGACGTGTGGTGCGCTCACGGTGTTGTAATTGACGGCAGGTCCCGGTCCGCCGTCGGAAATATTTGCGGTCCTGCCGGCAAACAGGAAGGATTTTCGCGGAGCGGAGTCCTTCAGCCGCAGCCCCCGCCTCCTTTGATCTGATGGGCTTTGAAATCCCCTGAGAAATTAGAGACTAATTAGCCCCAAAGTGACACCAATGCATGAGAAAGGCGAAGATTAGGCTTTAAGAAGGCAGTGCAAGGGTAATGGACTCCTAAACGAGCGTGTGCACAAACCGTGTGCCAAAGAAAATCGATCCGATTCAACCTGGGTGTGTCTAACGCTGCCGACGATTGCCAGGGCCAGGCTGTTTATTTAGGGACAGTCTATGGTGTGTGAGGGTGAAGACACAACCTCTAGCCTCGTCCAGCCTCCCAAGACAAAAGCAAAAAAATCCCCAACGTCCGTCCCCAAGGAAACCTTGATCAAAGAAAGGTATTCAGCGGTGTCGGGTGTACGGGTGTGTTCATGTGCATTTCACGGTATTTTGCTCTGTGTATCCAGCGTTATCAGTGCATGCAGTCAGGTTGATTCCTGTGTGCACCCCCGGTGACCGGGACCCCTCCACCAAAGGTGTAGGAGCAACCACTGTCCTGACTAGGACCAGCTTATCCTCGGGGAGGAAGAAGTTTCAAAGCAAGTGCTTTGAGATTGTGTGAACTGAAATAAGCTTTACGAACCAGTCCTTTACTAGAAAGATGTTTGAACTGTGGTCGAAGGGGATTTAGGGGGAATGGAGAAGCGATTCCAACAGTTACTACTGGGAATGCAATATGGGGTCCCCTACAATGCTTACTTAGGCTAATGGAGGTCCTGCCATTCAACTCCCATTGCGCTGGGATACAGGGTAAACATTCCCTGGTGACCCTCTGCGTGCAGGTCCCCTCTTCAGGACATCATTAAAAGCATACATGCACTTGCCTGACATCAATTGTCAGGCTGGCTCTCAGGGTTCAGAGATCCCGACAGAAAGCAGGAAAACAAGCCCAGTGGAGACCCGGCTCTGCGGCTGCGGGCTTTAAAAAGGCTGAAAATCGTTTGGTTGCGGGTGTGTAAGAAGAGACAAAAGTGCTCAGCAGGTAAGAGCGGAGGGTTTTGCCAAGAAGGAACTGTCCTTGATCGCTGTGACAGGATTGACTCGCTGGAGACTCCTCTCTCGGGAGCATCCACGCGTCCCCGAGGGGGCTG